GGACGATTCAAAAGAGAAGTCTATTTGAATAAAGATTATTTTGATTTTGACTTTGAAATCTAAATTTGGCAAAAAATTCTGTAAAGGCACCTCAGAAAACTTCTCCGCGGCTTTGAACACATCAGTGCGCCTGCCACTTAATATTTGGATTATATAATCCTTGTTGAATGTTGATTAGATTTTATCAAAAAAGCTCTTTAGCATTAAGGTCTTTAGCAATAGATCAATCTACAATTTGTTTTAAACTAGTTCTAAACTAATTGATTCATACTTTAATTTGGGTAAGGCATTTGTTAATGCTGTAGATTGTACCATTTCTATTATGACGTCTATTCTAGCAAATAATTTTTTTATCTTAAATCATCAATTGTTGTAGCAGAAATAAATCGCCTCAACTGATAATTTAATTTGAGCATGTTTTATCTAATTTGGTTTCAACATAGACTGGGTCTTTAACGTTATTTAAAAAAAATCCTATTTGAATTTTTGTTGATTGTTTACAATAGTAGGTCCATAAAGAAAATTATCACCAGTCGTAACTGCAGCAAGTTGGAACTGTTCAGGACCGTGGTGGTGGCAGTGGTTGCTATAATTGCGGTCCTGGTATACCTGGTACTATGTGCTATTTTGTTATGAAAATAACGCATAGGTGGATTAAGGTTTACAGTTTTTATCGTGCATTATCAAAAATGACACTTGTTGGGGTAACAAATCGAATGCAGATCACTTACAGTTTTTCTCGCCTCTGTACCTTACTTGCTCTCTCCGAGCTGGAATCCGAAGACACTTTTCGACAAGCTCGAAGACAATAAACACGCCTGCTTCGATGCTGTCTTCTTTGTTTATTTCGCTGTCTCGTTGCTTCATCGCGAAGGGAGGTTAATTTTATATTCATTTCGTTTTAATTTTAACACTAAACTATATAATAATAAGTATAATTTGTGCACATTTTATTTAGGACCGATGTTTTCGCCACGAAAAACGACGCTATAATGACGGTAAGCGTTCGTGCATAAAAGTCATTGGTTCGCTACCCGCAAAACTAGATGGCAGCACAGGCGCCGGAAGTAAGAGGGGAGGTAGTGTTTTGGACCGGAAACGTCACAAAAAGGATGATGCTTGACTCAAGATGGATTCCGGATATCGAACGGAACAAATTATATAACGTTTCTTACTGTTATCTAATACAAAAATAAATTGTTGTTTTTCTTTGATTATCGCAGAATACTTATCTATTTATACATACATGTAATAAGTCGGAAAAATCTATATACTTAAAATAAATTTGAAAAATTTTGTGTCTGCATATTGCATAAATTAATAGAAACTAATTAAGGGGACTTAAAAGGTAATTGTTGCCGTGAGGCTATATTTATACCAGCCACTTTGAAATTTTTCTCGTTTCAACCGAATTCAAAATCGAAAAGGAGCAAGTTAATATGTTCTAAGGCGATATAGTAAACAAACAAACAAAAATATATGACTTGTATAAATAATGCTCGATTATAGAAATGAAATAAAAAAAAAATTTAAAATGATAGCTTCACTCGGGATGCTACCATTTACCTTGTTTTTTTTTGAGTTCCTGATATTTCGGCGCTCTAGCAAGCGAAAAACTATCATTCTAATGTAAATGACCACGAAAGCTTAAAACAATCGCATACAACGCAAGAAGATTCTTTGTCCGAACAAATAATGTATACCATCATAAGTATTACTAAAAACTGAATCTCAAAATAATACTGGCAAATCTCAAGATAATACACCAAATAATGCTGAGAAAGACGACTCCGGTCGCGAGGGCAGGTTCGGATACGGCGAAAGGAACAAATGCGGCGACATGTTTGTGAATTTTCTTCAGGCAAACAAGATGTATCACATGAGCTCTTTCTTCGAGAAAAGACCAGGAAGAAAATGGATTTGAATATCAACATAATTAATAATATATAGTACAGGACGTAACAGTGCTCAATACTTTTTATACAGGAAGTGATCATCGCTTTATTAGACTCAAAATCGCAATAGACGCTGAATTAGAAAGGTACACCTCAGTGACTGTAAAGAAAACCAACAAAATAGATAGGTTGTATACTAACACTGATAACTACAACGAAATTCTCGAGAGGGAACTAATTAAAGTGGACCCGAAACCCTTGAAAATCAATGAATTATGCCAACACCATAATAAACTAACTTTAGAGGCATCATTGATAGTTGCACAACGAATCTCGGGTAGAGAATCATAATTTTCTTAAAATACATAAACCATGTGTAATGATAACAAACGGGAGAAAAGGAACAGATGAATTTAAGCAACTTTGTAGAGAAGTAAGAAGATTCGTTAAGGGGGATATTCACGAATATAAAGAAAACATGTTTCCGACGCGTTATCGACAGAGACCAAAAGTTTTTACAAAAGCTCTTCTTCGGGGTACCCAGCGAATAATCAAAATGAAAAACAAAGAAATGGTAGCTGGCACAGCAGCCATTCTCAATGTTATACAAGAATATTATCAATAAGCACTTAAGCAAATATATCGAATCACATGTAACAAATCGATTATAGATAGAGAATGTTGGTTGGGTAGATGTGCCTGATATAACTCGAGAAGAAATAAAGATGGATCTGAAAAAGGTTATAAATAGTAAAGCTGGAGGGGAGGATGGAATATTGCTCGAAATGCTTAATAAATAAGGCCATACACTGCTTGATAACCTGGCTATTCTATTGAACAAATGCTTGGGAAGAGGAAGTTGTACAAATACAACTACAGATCAATAAGTCTGCTATCTCAGACTTGTAAATTATTTTCAAAGGCCTTAACAAACCTCCTCACTAACAAATTAGATTTATACCAACCCAAGAAATATCCAGGTTTTAGACGGGGATTTAGTGCCTTCGACAATATATTGGCTGTTAAAAAAGCCACCAAATATTTAATATTCATATGACTTGCTTTCATAGACTAAAGAAAATAATTCGATAGTCTGGAAATACGGGTGATCCAACAATCGTTACAAAATGCTCAGCAGATCATAGGTATAATAACATCAACGCCGAAATCTATAAAAACGCAACATTCAAAGTCGCAATTCCATAACACACAACCCCCGTCAACATCGGAAGAGGGGTCAGGCAGAGCGACACGATTTCCTCGAAGCTTTTCACGCTTGTACTCGAAGACATGTTTAAAAAGCTGGAATGGGACGACAAAGGTCTGCTTATATCTGGTGTATGTTTAGACAATCGCAGATTCCCTGATGATTTGTATTGTTTGCAAACTCTCCTCAAGAACTGGGATCTATGATGCAAGAACTGCATAGGGCTGCTTCTAAAATTGTTCTAGAAATAATTATTGCAAAAACTAAGATCATGACCACAGACACCAAAAGCACAGAAACAATATCTATAGACAGCACTATAGAGGAGATGTTGCGATTTATGTATACCTAGGTGGGGAAATCAGGATGGGCAAAGAGAACCGAAACTAATGAAATCAACTCCTGTTCTCCGGAATACGACTTTGATGTCTATGAGAGGAGATCCCTAAGAGGGCCCTCGAGTGCAATGAGTTTTTTTTTAGCCAAGCCATAACACAGTCTGTTTATTGTATTTTTAGTTCTATTTTGACAATCGTGTTTTTATAAATAGCGGAAGATTCTCAGGTGCAATTAATGTAAGCTAATAACATTAATGTAAGCATTCGCAAGCATAAATAATAAGTTAGTAATTTATTACTATTATAATTGGTGGATCCCACAAAGATTCATAGGTAAAAAGTAGATCTTAACTCTCATGAGTTGGCCACCCCTGATCGGTATAACAATGATGAACTATTTAAAAAGAAAAACATTAGTTCCCGAAAACAAACTAGATGTCGCTACGGTAGTTTCTTGATTTCTCCATGACAACCTTTCCGGTTTTCTTTCATGTATAAAAGTAAATTAATTTTCAAAAATCTATAAACAACTTATATTCTATTTGTACATTTCGAAGAACAACGTGGTAAAGCTACATTACGACGTTTTTAAGGTTTTTCCATTTTTGGCTTCTAGGATGCCAATACTATAATGTCTTTTTATATCATCTAATGTCTTTTTATATCTTTTTTCTAAAAATTGGCATAATTATAAACTAAGACAACTTTTTTCTAGGAATCACTGTTAAAAAATATTTTATGAGAATAAAATAGAAACAAGCAAGTACAATGCAAATGTTTCTATCTCTGTTACATATTAATCGATTACGACACTATTCCAGAACATTGTCATACCTGCGAACCCAGTTAACCATTTTACGACTTTTTTTCTGATAAAAAATCTACGCCTTATATGCCGTATTTGAATTTACCGCTCCATGTATTTTAGTCGTGTTGTCGTACATTTAACTTCCCATTATTCTTGATAATAGAAACATATGCAACTGTTACTATATAAAAATATGAAACAACACCACTTCTTGCATTCTCATTTCAGTATCAAAAAAATGATATTGAAAACCTCAAACATAATGACAGTAGCTAACTGAATAATTTCGGACTTGTGAAATCTTTCGAAGAGAATTATCTCCAGATAATTTTGATAATATTGTAGAACGATCAGTTTTGCCCTACATAACAAATTATTTAAATAAAAATAACAATGTAATTAAAACACCTTCAACGATTTCCAATTTATCAGAAGAATATGATCGAAATAATAATGAGAAAGCTAAAGTGAGTGATGAATGTATTTATAATTTAAATAGCATTACTTTCTTGGATTTCGATGATTATATATGACATAAATGATTACAACACGAGCACTCGAAGTGAGTCCAATACTTCAACAATTATATTCCAAACCACTGGCTTAGAAAACAGCCACGAAGTAAGTCAAAACTACGGAGTAAATATTGCATAAAAATAGAACGTATCTCAAAGTCAGTTGGAAAGCCTATTGAGGAAGATGACATTTTAAAGCATTGAAATTCAATATAAGAAGAAAAAAATGAATCCGATATGGGAACTAAGTCCAAAGAAGGAAATAAACCTAAAGAAGAAAAACAAACGGAAGAAGAAAACAAGTCTGTAGCAGAAAATAAGTCAGAAGAAGAAAATATATAAACCTAAAGTAAAATTTTGACTAGAAAACGAAACACAAATGAATGGCAAAATAATAAGAATAAATTGCTTAACAATTCTGGGCAATCTTATACCGGGGTCAGTTCTAAAAGAGTGTATCCCTCAAAATCCATTCGAGATCTTTGCAAATGCAAAAAGAAATGCTGCGAAAAGTTCAATGATAAATATAGAAAAGCTATCTTTGAGTCTTATTGGAGAATTGGTGAGCATGAAGATAATGGCAAAAAGAGAAAAAAGCTAATTGATTGCAGACAATAACTTATTTTTTATCATTAAATGGAACCAAAGAATAGGTTTGTAAATCTTTTTGTTTGAACACATGAGGCATATCTGAAAAAAAAAATGTTTATACAGCTATAGAAAAGAGTAAGAATGACGAAAACATACATAAAAGGGGAACACCATAAAAGACCACGAAAAATGAATATATCGACTAAACATAGCATTTTAACGCACTTCAAGGTCTTCCTTGTAGTAAAATATCATTACACAAGAAAACAATCAAAGAGATTGTGTTTGTCAGAAATTTCAAACATAATTAAAATATATCGCCTGTATAACGAGTGGTTTAGTAATCACAAAACTGATCATCCAGATCGGTGTACACAGAAGCTATCAAAAAAAACAGCTGGTTGGCTGTATCATTGATACAGCCATATTTTATGCGTGGATACGTCTATGTATGAATGGATATATGAGTAATTGATAAAAAAAAAACTAATTATTAATGTATTAAATAGAGTTTATTGAGTATAGGTCGATGATATGAAAAATATGAAACGTAACGAAATTGGTTAACATTTAAATTACGTGTAAAAGTTAATCTAAATATGTATTGCCCAGAGTTGTGGGTTGAGTCTGGCAACAATCCAAATTAAATTCTTTTATTTAGAAAATTAAGTAATGATGAATTTTCATATATGTCGGAGTTAAAAAAATAAATAAACAAATTGAAGACACTAAACACTAAATAAATAAATATTCGTTGCGTTCATTTGTTGAATGAAAATAGTATTCAGTAGCGCCAACAGATGGCGTTAGTGCATATACTCCTGCTGACAGAATGCCCCTCCCCCTGCAGAGCAAGCATAGTTCACTTATACCCCAATAGATGGCGTTAGTGCATATACTCCTGCTCACAGAATGACCCCCCTGTAGAACGAAAACATAGACGTATCCACGTCAAAAAAAACAGTAGGAAACTATATTTAATAAACTTTTTAATTATTCATTTTCAAATCCAAGAAAAATCGATGTGCTACTTGTGCTTTGTATGAGGTTACCCTCGAAGAAACTTATAGAACACACCTCAAGATCAAAGAAATAGGTACAAGAAATAAAGAACAGTTGATATATTTGATTTCGAGCAAGTCTTAAATATCCCGCAGTCAAACGTAGGTGTACATATATTTAATTATAAGAGGAAATACCATAGTTAACATTTAAATTTTCAAGGATACTGCTACGTTTGGCACTATGAAATAGATGAAAGAGGAGCTATAGAAATCGGTAGTTGTCTTTTAAATTTCATCGAAGACGAACATACACTGTTAAACTCCAAAATACAAGGTAAAAAATGTTTTTATGACATACAAGCGCTCGCAGAAAAGATATTTGTTACGGGATTTTTAAGGTAACAAAGTAATGTGGTCATAAATAAAAGACATAGATCCTGATATAAGCTATTTGTAAATACGAAATCCGAATTTGAGTCTCTAAAAACTTTTCTAAATAAACATGCGGAAGAAGATCCAAAAAACCAAAGTATAAATATTGTCAACAAATATAGTTTATTAAAGAAAGTATTTTAATTAGAAAATAGAAAAGACTGCAAACAGAAGTATTTAGTTGTTATTATTATTTCAAAGTGCCATTAATGAATAACTGATAGATCTAGAAATAAATTGGTTGTTGTTTGGTTAGTTGTTTTTCATAAAATTAACTTTTTTTTATTAAATACTGTTGATTATAATATAATACTTGGTTTTTTATCACCCCTGTCTAGTATTATCCTACTTTTATTATAAATTAGAAAGTTTGTAAGGATGGGTGTATGTATGTATGTTATGCTTACACGAAATACTTGACGGATTTGGATGAAACTATACAATAATATAGGTTATAAAATTTGTATATTCCCGTGGTATACCATTGTGAAGTCTACGCGGCCGAAACTACTGGCGGTAGGCTAGTTTGATAATATTGCGAATAAAATAAGATATAATAAAATGAAATAAAAATACACATGAAAAAGAATTCTTGTGCAATGTTCAAAAGTGTACGATAATAGCTTATGATAAAGCGAACTAAAAAAATATAAATTATAAAGTTTAATATTTACATGAGATAATAAGTTTTTAATAATAATAACCTTATAGTTGTACTTAAAATAAAATAAGTCGCAATAAAAAAATGACTTTTTTAATTGCAACCTATTGCAAATTTATGTTATTGTATTAATTTGATACATCCTCAGGTTTAAACAGAATAAGCTGGGAATAAGAACATATATTTTATTACGTTATGAATTTTTCTAAATCTTTCCCAGGAAAAAGTCGTACAAAGCTGTTACTCACGGCGAAATAGACGTCAAAATACTTTGAAAACTGTTGTTATGTTTAGTTGCTGAGTTTGTCGTTAAGGATATAAATGTAAAATAACGATGTCACATCACTTGCAATCAGGATCAGAGAAAGTATATGTGGTACATTACATTTTTCTCATTATTTCCTTGAACAACTTATTAAATTATTTTCTGATTATTGTATAAGTTAGAGAAAAAATCTATTTTAATATAACATCAATAGAAATTGTTATGATCTAGTACTTTTTGAAATATTAACCAATTTATGTTTTTATTTTACCCTGTAGTTGTTATTTTAATTTTACCAAGTTATTCTGTGGGGGCAGCGATTTTCAATTACGTATTGATATCTAAGTTGCGAACTTTGCATATTCCAATTTTTTTATATGTTAGTTAAAAAAAACGGAAATGACTATCTTTGGCCTTGCTAGGTGCTTTTTATTGCTTACTGTTTTTTTCTTATAATATTTCCTCATTAAAATAACAAAAATGCAAAGATAAAAATTGCACACGAATTGGTCGAAGATTGCAATCGAATTAAGATTAAGAATTATCAAATCATTCATGATATACAGGAACATAGTATATAAAGCGAGTACTGGCTTGTCTTTATTACTTGTGAGTGATATAGTACGAAATGAAGCAACTGTTAATTCTTGTTACACTCATCGCCGCCTCACACGGCCTTCTCGGTAAGAACTTTTTCTATTGTTTTTATAATAATAGCTAGGATTGCCAACATTTAAAAAAAATATAGTTACAGAATCCGTTCTCCTTACCACAACTCACCGTACATGCATTTACCTGGGGATAAAAATGATCTACATGCTATACTAGGCCATTTGTAAAACATCTTTGCCCTAAATTCCATTCAAATCCCTTCAGGCGCTTTGGCCTTATTTACAAATATTCACACATCCGATAAGAATATTATTTAAAATATTCAAGAATGTAGGTTTTTTGGTAAAAATTTACAATTATCTTTGTTATATGGTACTTACATAGGTATTTATTTTTACAAAATACTTTTTTGCATTGCCCGATTTTTATCCATTTTTTTGTTTAAAATAAAAGATCAATTCGTTAATGTATATATTTTCGGCATTTTTAGACATTTTTGCTTTTAATACATTCAAACATAATACATTATTTATGTATTATAATATGGTTGATAACCCTATTGTCAAAACTTGAATTCTAGGTACCGTGTGTACCGTTTAATATCTAGTAGTTGATAGAGTAATGCTAATCCATCTTCCGGCGTGCCTCAAGGATCCATACTCGGGCCTTAGCTTTTCTTATTAATGATCAATTATGTTGTTGGTGTAATTGATCACAATAGATACCTAAAGTTATTGCAGAGGTTAGAGATGAGAGTGGTTAATAACTCGTTCAGGGAGACTGATGCATTAGTTTAGTCGAGATAATGACAAAAAGTTTAACATCGATAAGTATTTTGGTATATGACTTTTATGTTTCATAGGAGCCCTGTCGAAAACGATGTTAAATAATAACAGTTTAACTCGATAAACACTATGACATAGTTATGCGATTGTTTTTTGCTTTTTTAACATTTAGCAAACATTAATTAAGTGTAGACTTTTATCTGCAGACTCTTTATTCTGTTATTTCTTTAGAGAAAAGTGTACTATATTAAATTACTCAAGAAGTATTTTAACAGATTTTTTCTTTTTACAGGAGCATGGAAGGGGGGTCTAAAAGGTGAGAGAATTGTCTTATTTTACTATTTATGTTTGAATATATTATAAACGGAGATCTCGTGATAAAATTTACTTATTAAAAAGTAGTGTTAAAGGTGCCGAGTGATGAATACCCTCAGTACTTCAACATACTGAAATATCAAGCTTTAGAAAGCTTGTGCACATTTTTGTCACGAGCTATATATTTCGTGTTTCGATAAGAATAATAAGACTGTTCAATGAACACTCAATTTGTCAGGACAAGAAAGCGCTCAGAGTCTTTCAAATTGATGTAGATACAGCCGATCTATCACATTTCCGATTCTAGCATTCCCGTGATATGCTACACATTATTTGAAATTATAACATAAAATATAACCACTATGATAACTACTAAGATAATTAAATTGACATTACCTACTTCCTACTTTGTTCAGTGAGGTTTGGGTTGACCCTTTTGGGTATCGGTTCCAATTACTTCATAACCGTACCCAGTACGGTGGCAAAGGCTAAGAACGCCCGCTGGGTGCAGACTCCTCGCCCTGAGGGACCGATGCCTGAACTTGTGCTATACTGCCCCTCTACACGTGACCGTACTCTGTGTGTTCTATACGATGATAGCTCATACGTAGCTGGCCTTCAGATTGCTGTAAGTAATAAATGGACCACGAAATGAAAATTTTGAAATTTTATAAGTGTTTTTTTTATAACTCTTTGAAATCCACAAACTTAGCAATTGTAGTTTTATCCTTTTCAATTACAACTTATTCGTACGTTATTTCTTTGTGCAGTTAATAGCACATCAGATTAAAACAAATCTGTTTTTCTTTATTTGATTACAAACATTAATTTTGAAGTTAGAGTAATTGCGAATAAGTTTACATGCTGCATAAGTGGACGTGCTGTTGTATATACAAAACCATATAATAAGAAAATATTTAAAAAATAGTTGCCAAAATCAAACTAGATGTGGCTACGGTACGTTCTTGATTGGACAAGCCTTCCGGTTTTTTTTTCATGTATAAAAGTAAATTAATTTTCAAACTCAATAAACAACTCATATTTTATTTGTATTTTTCGTATTTGTATTGATATCTAAGTTTCGAATTTTGCAAATTTCAGTTTTTTTATATGTTAGTTAAAAGGAACGGAAATGACTATCTTTGATCCATTCTTTTCCTGCAAAAATCAACTTTTGCTAGAGTCGCCATCTAGTGAGGTGCTTTTTAGTGTTTTTTACTGTAGTAACTGGCCCGCCTAAGTTGTGCTTTGCGTACACACCAAGAGGTATACACCTCAATATAGAGGGATGTTTTCAAATATCCATTTACTTAACTGCTGTTATATATTATCTTACGCGCCGTTAGTCATTTCACTTATTTCTATTATATTGCAGCTTGACCAATCCAAATTCAGAGATGGTATTTTCGACTGGGAGACACAAGGCTTCACTGTCTGGAATCCACCTGTGTCTGTTTTAGACACTCCACGAACGTACCAAACCATTCAGCAGTATTTCATCTCAGAAGGTAACTATTACATAGTTCAACCAGGGCCGGATCTGCAGGGGGCGGGGCAGAACAAGTCAGGCAGTGTCGGTGTCAGAAAAAATATAATACACTGGCGTGCCTAAATTAAATGAAAGAAAAAACAACTACAAAAATATGGTATCGGAGACAGACATAAACTTACAATATTTATCCGTAGCCATTGCGTTAATTTGAAAGTTTTTGAAGTACTTAGTGTCAAGAAATATTTTAGTGTCGCAGTCGTTAAATCTTCAACAAAAAATATGTTTCTTACAGATCAACTTAAAGTAAGCGTACATGATCGCATAGTGGCACGTAATAAAGACACGACACTGCAGTTTGGAAGCGTGTGGGTGACTGGCTTTAATAAGCAGCGCATGAGGATCTCGACTATTGCTAGTGAAATTGCAGACACTCCAAAAACTCACTTTACTAAGCAGGCGTGCATTCCGAATATGGGTATGTGATCTCTAAATGTTCAAGAAATCATTAATTAAATAACGAAGAACGGGTGTTAGTCAGTCTGGCGGTGCGAATTCTCTTGTACACGCTTATTACCACAATATGTCAATTTTCCACGATTGATTTTGAAGTCAATGTAATAACATTTTAAATTAAATTGAGAAATTTGATGTTTGGTACAACCTGGCGTGCTGTTAATTGGACCTACTTTGACACTAATTCTTGATTGAATTGTGACACCCTCGCTGAATGTCATTGAATTATTAGTCCGTTACGATTGTGCGAAATGCGCAGATAAGCCATTAATAAAAGAAGAAGAAGAAGAAATAGGGAGAAACAGTCAAGTGACGTCTGTCTACCAACACAAGATTTTGGAGGAACCATGATATTTTTTTCAGGTCGTCATTATTACTATAACATGACTGCGACGACCGAGTGCACAGCCACCAGCCTCTTGCCGTGGTTCCCACTGGTGCACTCCGGCGAGCTCATTGGTATGGGTGCCGTCATCTTCGGCAAACTTAACGAGAAGGATCTCGTTAAGGATTACTTCGAGAGACCTAATGTTCTTGCTGTCAAGGTAGGAAACAGTAAAGTAAAAATGGATGAACATTTTATAAACTATATATAAAATCTCCTTGTCCTGTTTTATAAACATATGGCATGACTACTACGTATATTGAAATAGAAATAATATTGAAATTTCTTTAGATAACGTTATTTGTTGTTTGAGAATTTTAATGTTGTTTTTGCATTAAGTTTAAAACTATAACATCATATATTTAGTCTGCCTAGGGCAGACTTAAAAACGGACAAGAGTTGATTAGTGTAGCTACTTATATATTTTTGTATTGCAGACGATCGTACCAGACGGCCCCCAGTGTTTGTACGACCTGGCAGCATCACCTGCGATGATCACCATGCATTCTTATTACATTAACACACCTTGGCTCGTCGATTGTCTGTTCCAATAAACCACTCGTATCTCTGATTGTATTGTATTATCTATACTATAATAAAAAAGTAACCGATCGATTTTTCATATATCTTCAATGTACAGAACATTGAAGATATATGAAAAATACTATTATGAGAGACATTTATAAACGTAACAGAACACAAAACAATTATTTCAACGCCGTTTTCACTATTTTATTGTGATAACCATCCGTTAACATTTAATGTAAGTTTTATTTCAATCGGTTCCTAAATAAAAAAGTTATATCAATTTGAATTACTGTGTTTGCCAAAATTGCTATGAAATAAATTTCTTTATTAACTTTTAGTCTCTGATATATTGTTAATCATCGTCAGCTCTTTTACATCCCCATGCAGTGAGGCTGAGGCCTTTTTTTTAATAATTCTTGGTCACCCATCCCGTTAACAACCCATGAGGCTCATGCAATATTACATGAGTCTGAAGGTCGGTGCAAAATTGATGGAGCTCAGTCGAGCTCCTCACGGAATATATTTGTACACGATTTCCGTCGAGTGTCAAGATCAAAGAAATATTTAATAAGTATATATTTTTTTTTAATTCCTTGACGTTCTGCGACAAATAACACGCGCTGACGTCTGTCTGACGACAGATACGTGCCGGCATATCTGTCGACAAACAAACTCGCTTGAGCTCTCAGAGTTTGGACTGGAAGCGCTTGGTCATAAGAGATACTTGACGGGCGCGAAGCATATCTAAATGCCCATCGCGACGCTCATGCACTATCAAGTTTAATCTGGAGCATTAATTGTTAGGGAAAATATTTTGAGCTCTCAGAGAACTCATACAGCAAGCGTTTGATCTCAGGAATCTCAGGAAACCTAGGAAACCAGCTTATAATTATTGCATAGATAGTTTTGTAATTCAAAATTACGATAAAATACGAGATCTGGGCATACTATTTCATAGTAAACTAACTTTTGTCCCCCATATAAATGATATCACGAATCGGGCCTCTCGTATGTTGGGATTTGTGCTCCGGAATTGTAAGGTTTTTCGAAAATATAAAACTAAGACATTACTCTTCAATAATCCAGTGAGAAGTATTGTGGAGTATGACAGTATTATCTGGAGACCACAATGTGCAATACATTCTTTGCGTTTAAAAAGAATTCAAAGATTTTTATGGCATCTCTTACACTGTTCTGGTATATCTAAAAAGAAACTGCCCTTGTACTGGAGCCGCCTATCACATTTCAATGTAACTTCCTTGGAAAACCGTAGAGATCTAATTGATATATTTTTTATTTCCAAAATACTATCTCATGAAATCAACTGCTTGAGAAAATTAAATTGCGAGTACCCTTCAGATTTTTTCGTAACAGAGTCACTCCACTAAGCGTTCTACTACGTAGAGCTGTAAGTACTTGGTTCTACTCACCAATATGTAGGATGTGCAAATTATTAAATAAATATAGTGACACAATAGATATTTATCACGACTCAATTTAAATTTAACATACGTGAAATAGTCTAATCATGTTTTTCTTTTTTAAATAATTAATTGATAGAAATGAATACGCAACTCCTTTTCTCATATTCTAGTGTAAAAGGGTAGTTTCTTACTTATTCTATGTTATAGTGCATGTTGTGTTTACCTTTAAGTGTTTGTGACAATTAGTTATTTAACATAAAATTTATTGTAACTAGAATGTATGTTGTGTTGAACACGAACGTTGGTAAACCTTAAATAAATAAATTCCTGAAGATAACTTAGCCCGTCTAACTGCTGATCGTAACATATAGGGTATGTTCCGATATACACTGCCAGCACTGCGCAGTGGTCTTACTGCTGAAAAATTCGTTTCGTTATGGACTGCCAGTACACTGCTACAGTACCCTAGGGAAATTTATGACGTCATAAATTGCCGCCATATTTGTACTGTGAGCACTGGAGATTTCGAGGTAAGGTGCTCGCAGTGCTTTTGATCACGTGATCAGTCAAAACAGAATCAGAAAATGACAAGTTTCTAAATAAACAAAAAAAAAATACTTACGTTTATTTATAAGATGGATTTAATTGATAAATATTTTTTTTATACAATTTTCTAATTTTCTTTTGAAAAGAGGGAATCTTTATATTTATATTCACCTTGCATTAACAAATTTGAAAATGGCGCCAAAAAATAGGATTAACAGTATACTGGACTGCGTTCCGTTTTAAAAAGTCACCAGTATAACTAGCTATAAAGGAACGGGCTTCTAGTATACTAAATTGACGTCATACTGTTTAGTGGTCGCAGTGTATATCGGAACATACCCATATACGATATTGTTTGAGTCTTTAACTTCCTTTGATAGAGAAATACGGTCGAGCTCTTAAAGAACTTTAGATTACCGCCAATCGATATTGCCTTCTACCCGCCTGTAACTCATAAGCGTACCTATATAATTAACTGTTAACTAGCCGCGTTAATTATAACCTGTGTCACCCAAGTATGACGTTGCTTCCCGTAGGTGAAAGAATTTTTAAAATCGGTTTAGAGGTTTCGGAACCAATTCGATGTAAAAAATCAATTAAAATTTTCCTCTTTTTAAGATTAGACGTTAGTGCATTTGGTGTACGATAAGGTTAAGTAAGAAATGTCTTTGTTTCACAACAAAAATATTATATATTTTTCATATAACAACATTAATAACTATGTACTAAAGACAAACTTAGCGCTAGTCAGTGATTTCGTTCAGGCAATCTAGCATTGGATGGAAATAAATACCAAAAAATAATTGATTGCGCATACAATTACACAGATAAACAAATAATATTTTTAAAAGGTCAAAATCAAAAGAAGAACACTTGAATCAGCGTTAGTATCACTAATGTGAGTATACCTGATGTACAATAAAAATGGTCAGACACAAAAGCAGAGAGAGAAGTGAAAAAAAAAGTAGAAAAGTAACTATCGTAAGGGCCGTTCATAGGGTGGATGACCTAAGCATTATTATCTTGAGCTCCTCCTCCAAACTCCAGAGGGCTCCAGCCGGGATCAACGGCTTAATTTTGCTTCGGAAAGCAAATTAAGCCGTTGATCCCGGCTGTATCAGAAGTCGTTAACACCCACCAATTCGTATTGGGCCCGCGTAGTGCGTTATGCACCATTGAAGGATCAATCGAGGATCGAATCGAGTAGGAACTCGATTCGATCCTAACCATAGAAAAGAAACAATTCTCCTGATATACTCTTCAACGCAGACGATATCGCGGGCACAGCTAGTGACAAATAAGTCGCCAACCTTTGTCCGGTAATATCAGTTAATGTTATGACCAAAATAATGTGGCATGCGATGCTGAGCTCTTTGAATTCGAGCAATGTGTTCTGATAGTGTACAATCAAAGTTGATATACTCTCCACCAACTTTAAAAATTACCATTATTTGGGTCATACAACTTCTCGGTTGTGCCCTTAAATGCATTTATTTTGACCTGCCAAAAATTTTAGAATTTCGATTACATTTTCCAAAACTTCCACCCACCTCTTTTTCTCGCGGTCTATATCACTTTGATTTACAGAGTCCACTGTTTGTTCTTTCAATAAGTCATTTTTAGGATCTAAATATTTTTTAAAAGAACATATGTACCCTGAAATTTTCTCGAGTCGTTCTATATTCTCGACAAATGCTCTCAGTCTATGTAACCAGGGGGGCTATTAAATGCAGTTATATTAATATTTAAAATCTTGTGACGGGTTCGATGCTTGGGCGAATTAATGAAAAGGCTGACTAGCTTGAGAATTGATTTATTTTATGGTAATAATGGGTAAAGAAAAGAAACTATAACAAACATAAAATGAATATAAAAATAGTTCGTATGTTTACCTAAATATAAAATTGCTAAATAAAACAAATACATATCCCTTTTTGGGTTTCTTAATAAAAACTTGAATTACAGGATATAATTTTATATATGTAATTTATAATTTCTATTTTAATCACATATCTTCATTATTATACGAGTAATATTTAAATTTATACGATTGAAAATAATATGTTCACATCAGAAGAATTTTTTAGGAACTGACATTCATAAAGAGCATATTTGATTAGTCAAAATTTCAAATTAAGAAAGTTGAATAATAAAAAGAAATGATGTTGATTATCAAAAATAAAAAGTTTGCATACTGAAACCTAGGACGAAATAAACGGTGGTACGGCACACTGTTACAAGCTTACAATGAAAACAAAATACAGAAGCAGTAGATGTGGAATATACAAGCCAAAATGAACAATTTCGATGTTTTGTAAATTTTTACTGTAATGTGAATGTGAAAACGACCTCAAGTTACTATCTGAAGGCTAGTTGTTTTTTAATCTTTTATCTACGTCAATTTTGAGCTGAAACGGGAAAAATCTTGTGTATTTAAAGTTCCAATTATCAAGCTCAAACGTTATCTCGTGTTATTTCTAAATACTAAAGTAAAAGTTATACAGTGTTTACAGCAAAAATATTCACATACGTCTAGAGTGGCAGTGAGTAAAGTGATTTAAAGAAAACAAGAACAAATATAGTGTTTAAGTTACTCCAACAAAAGTGTCAACTGCAAATAGATTCACGAAAACCAAATCCGTTACATTACTGGTGAGATCGTGTATCTATACGAGGAATAAAACTAACATTATACCCCAGAATCTTATTAGTGCATTTTGTGATCTACTAACAAGAAACTTCGCCATAATGTGAAGTAGTTGAAGCGCCATTGATATTTTGTGACACGTTAAAGGTCTTCGACTACTTAAACCATTAAACAGTACCTTGTCCAAAAATACGAGCATTATGGCGTGTCAAAAAGTTAAATAATATCGGATATTTAGCTAGACTCCAAATAAATTTGATTAATTAAACAATCTTTATATGAACTTACCAATTGTTTGCGTACCTCAAGGCTCGATTCTAGGACCATTGCATAACCTTATTTTTTTTTTTTACTCAAACATATTCAACAGTTTAAGAAAAATATGGGAGATGGGATTACTTGTAAATGAAATCTTTTTAATGCAGTGATTTCCAAACTGTGGTTGGTCTTTGTCTCAAAATTAATTAATAGAGGTAGATTTTTAACCTCATCAAGTCCTCAAATCAGTTTTTGTTTAAGTCAACCCCTGGGAAACTAATTCAATCCTATTTTGGGAATCTTGTTTAAGTGTTTAAGTAAAATAGAGCATTGCTGTAATAATGCAAATTGAAAATGTAAATAAAAATAAAAAGATTATTTTATTAAAAAAAAAAACATTACATATATTTTAAATGTTAACATAAAGACTATAAATTTTTATTCGGACTGAGAAGGCTTGCTCTTCCATTAACATATAAATTTTAAAGTAATATTAAAAATATTGTACTTGGGTTACAATTACTTTATAACTAATAGCTCAATGGGTCTGTAGTGTATTTATTACATGTATTACAAAAAATAATATATACATAGGCATTTATTTCAATTTGCTCATATTTTTTCTTACAAATTATTATATAATTTAAGGCACATAAAATTGGAAGTAAATAATATAAAATTCCTTTTGGGCAAGCGCAACACCGTAGATCTCATTTATGTCCTTGGGCTATATTGGCATCAAGAGTCAATAAAAATTAATAATCTTTTATATATTTATATTCCCGTTTCTTAAGTTAAAATTACAAAAATATAAGTCTTGGTTATTGTCGATAAGTTTCATATTTTTGAAGATATCTTTTTTTTATTTGCAACCTTGTTGACTATTACATGTCCTTCGTCGTAATATGGGTTGAAATATTCTTGCACTTTTTTAGACCATGAAGATATTACCGGAAAATGCTGTTTTGGGTCGTATCCAGCCATCCCTGTGAAAAGGCAAATTTATAAACAACCAGTCAATGTTTACAAAAATATAGAAACTAGAGTTATTGCAAGAATTTTTTTGCAATTATTGGATATATACAATTAATCAACTCTGAAAACAGTATTTTTTTTCCCTAGAGACATAGCCTACACGTAGAACGCGGCAGGATGAAAATTTAAATAAATAAATTAAAAAAATATATATAGAAACTAGAGTTATTGCAAGATTTTTTTTGCAATTATTGGATATAGGGGAAACGGTATAGTTATTGGCCAGTTAAGCGACTTCAATGTAGAAAGCGGGAAGTAAAAAAATAAATAAATATTTGTAATAAATAAAAAGTTGTTTCACGGAATCTATAGAACTGTATTTATTAACTTTCTTTGTTTACCTACATTATTTTAATATATTGTCTAAATAAAATCAAATTAAAAACAAAAATATAAATTTTACAGTTATTGGCCGCACTATAGCAGTTATTGGCCTTGAGATCGTACAGTAATTAGCCATCTTTGAAACATAAAATAAAATAAATTTAAACATCAAAAATAATCATTTTCAATAATTAAAATATACCTATATCCTCTTGAGTACTCTCATCCTCAGACAACTCAGAATCATCGTGTAACAAATAACATTTATGGCATATAAAATCAGAAAGCTCATCTTGATCCGGAATGTGTTCCTGGTGTTTATTAGGAATGCACTGAGGATGGTATGATTTCTGACAAGAGCTACATAATAAGGACTTATGTTTAACTGCTAAACGATGGCATGAATCACAGGTCACTACTAAAAGGTTTTGTAATATCTTTGGTTTATTTCTATCTTTATTTAAATTATCTTTTCCATCACTACATTCTTCACCTTTCATTTCCTTGTTTTCGTTTACCTCATTGGCATCATTTAAATTTTTAATTTCAATCGTTTCATTTTTTTTGTCGTATCCATCACTTAGGTTTTCCTTTTTTGTTTTCTTCCCTACACCTTTACCTTTTTTTGTCTTCATAAGAGCAAGTTCTTTCTTTGCGGTTGCTTGTTCTTCTCTTTTTCTTTTCCTTTCTATTTTTTCATTCTCTTTTTGTTGCTTTTCAATTTCCTTTTTCTCAATAGCTGCTCTAAACTTTTCGGATGTAATGACAAACGGCTTTTTTTCTATGTTTCTGACGAATTTCCGTTTATTTTCCGGCGCATTTGATAGGTAATCATTTATTGATTTTCTGATAAAAGAAGTATCATATGAGGTACTAGGCGTGGTCAAATCTACAGGAGTTTTAGTGGGTGTCATAGTAATTTGTACTTTTGTCACATTATCTTCGCAGGAAAAATTTACATTAGTGGTTATATTATTTGCAGTCTGTATTTCAACACTGTTTGATTCATTCTGAGGATAATCACTTTGAAAAAAGCACCACAATTTGTATAGTGTAGGAGATTTATCGTTTAAAGATGTACCTTTAGATTGCAGTTCTTTCAACTTGTTGATCATATCTACTCCTACAATATTTTTGAAGTCTTTTATAGTCATATGCTTATTATCGATATTGGCGGCTTCATCAGATTTTTCTGCAGCTAAACATTTAGAGTAATCAATAGCATTCTCGTTAAAAGGACATAGCCCACACGTTCTAAATCCATTGATTATACTATCAGACTTTAAATTATCAACGACTGTTTTTAAAATCTTAGCAATATTTAACTTTGTCACAGCCTCTCCCACGTTTTCTGCTTGAAATTGCCGAACTGCTTTGCGATACATATTCTTGATTGGCCCAAATATTGATACATCTGCCGGTTGAGTAATACGAGTAGTGTTAGGATAAAGAGCAACAACTTCGATTCCTAGTTCCTTACACGTTAAACTGAGCTGTAAAGTAATGTGACTTTTGTGTCCATCGATAAATAGGATAACTGGTTTACTGATGTTGTTTTCCTCAAGGTATGGCGCCAATATGTCAGTGACAAACTGATTAAAAACATCTGCAGTCATCCATCCTGTATCACTCCGTCCGATACTCCAATGTGGCGGCACCGACGACGCAATTTTTTCCGGGAGTCGTTTGTAAGGAAATACTATTAACGGAGGACATGTTCTTCCATCAGCAGAAAATGTGAACAGTAATGTGATATTTTCTTTGGTGTTTCTTTGTTCGACGGCATAAACATTTTTATCACCTTTAGCTGCAAGAACTCTACCTGTAGAAGGACAAAGCTGAAAACCTGTTTCATCAGCGTTAAAAACACGTTGTGGATCTTGAATGGCCTCCAATAGATTTTCAGTAGTAAAATAATCCTTGATTTCTGCGAACCATTTTTTTATATCGCTCTCAGCCACGCAGGCACTAGCTTTAGAAACGCCCTCACTGGTTCTTTGACTGATATCGGGATGACGTTTTAAAAAAGCTCTCAGCCAGCCTTGACCAGGCCTATTGTTATTAAACGGAGTATCGCGTGGATTTGCAGTCAAAAATTTTTGAACAGTATCGAGAACATCATCTGCTTTTCTCGGAAAGCCTTTGCGAGACATTCTGACTAACCAGTTTTTAATTGTATCTTCCTCTTCATAAGTTAAGTATGGCATTGGCCCAAATTGAGATCTCGAAGTAGGATTCCTTAATTTGAACTGTAGAGTTGCTCTTGGAATATTGTACTTCTTTGCAACTGCTCTCAAAGACATCGTTTTGTCCTAAATTTTTTCCAATGCCTCATCATGAGCTTCTTTGGTGTATTGGGGTTTTTTTGGCATGGTGTGTTTTTTACCAGTCTACCTATTGGAGTAGAAAAAAACGATCATTGAATTTTAAAAAATACGTAAAAAGTTACACAGTAATTGGCATATTTTTGTATTGGTTAGTAATGTAAGTGGCACAGTAATTGGCCTAGGCCAATAACTATTTACAGTCCTCTGAAATATATGGAGATTGAACTGGCCGCATAATTTTAAAAATAAGACGATAACTCTCTATTAGAAACGCTCTTTATTAAGTATAGAATAAATATAGTAATGGGCATAAGAGGCCAATTACTATAAATTGAAAAAAATACAGTGACAGTTATTGGCCATAACAATATTTTAGGTTATAATCAATTTTTTCTTATATCACACCTTAAATCCGCTAATTAAACATACAAACTACATATTTTATAGGTTTTCAGTTACTTTACTACATTCATGTTTCTAAAATTATCATACTTAAAATATCTAATGTCTTACAAAATTTAAATTAAACTTACTTATTTTTGCTCCAGTGCCACAAAATCACAAATCACAAAAAGACCGTTACACCTAACAAAACTTTTTTGGCGTTATTTGACAGTTAGTAACAGTGTTGCCAACATAAACTTTCTGTATCTTACCTTTGTTAGCTTAGTTGGTAGTTTTTTAATAATTAAATTCAATTGGCCAATTACTATCTGAGGGCCAATAACTATACCGTTTCCCCTATACAATTAATCAACTCTGAAAACCGCATTTTTTTTCCCCAGAGACATAGCCTACACGTAGAACGCGGCAGGATGAAAGTGGCTGCAAGCGTAAGCGGAACATATTTCTTTGTATTTTAACAGACTTTAAAAAAGGAGATTCACTATACAACTGAATGTTTTTATTTTTATGTATTTTCCGTGATATTTTCGTTAGCCGATTCTGATAATTCTTTTTAGTTTGAAAGGATATATTCTTAGTCTTCGGAGTTACATTTTGCTTTTATATAAAATCAATATTTAATTTTTAGCTACAATCCAATAATAATAACTGTATGCCCAAACTAGATAGGATAAAAACTGACCGATAAATGTTACATCAGCAGAATAAAAAGCTTAGAAAGTATACTCTTAGATACATAATTGTTTATAATTATTACAAGCTTATAATAATTATTTCTGAAACTATTATCATAAAAAGTTGTTGTCCGAAGATAGACAAACAAACAATTTTATTATCATCAGCCCTTTTACGTCCCCACTGCAGGGGCTCAGGCCTTCCTTATGGATGGTAAAGGAGGACGGGACATGACCCTTAACGCTGACCCAATGCGGATTGGAGGGTATTAACGACTGCAAATGCAGCCGGGACCAACGGCTTAACGTGCCTTCCGTAGCACGAAGTAGCTAGAGATATTATATATTATAGATAAGCGGCGATGGGCTTGACAGCTAGTTTTACCCGAAGCTTTGTCCGCCGCTTCGCAGACGCAATCCAGTTTTCTGGAAGATACAAAACCCGTGGACGCGCTCCTCGCAACACATTTCAACCGAAGGCAGCGTAACGTAAACATGCAGTCCTTGAATATTGAGATTTTTCTCTCGCGGCCGCTGCCGACGTAGACAAAATTATAATGACTACACAAATCATTTTGTTTAGTTGGGAAGATTTTTTTTTATTGTACGTGAAGTGATATCCCCATATTGGGTCGAAATCGATTTAGCTGTTTTATTTATATTATATTATCCATCACTTGTTGATGCAACTTTCGAGCTCTAAACCCCAATAACCATACCTTATTTACTATCATGTGTTAGCTAACTAGTATAATTAACCACTCACTTGGTTGTTCCAATTCACATGCAGCAAATAAGTCGGCAATAGTTATAGTATTGCCAACTATAAAGTCGGTACCAGTTCCCAGCCACTTTGTGCTGAAAGTTTCAAGGGCTTGGACCATCCGATTCTCGTAACCAGCCACCGTTTTGGCCTCCGGTTGTTTTCCAGTAAAAATCGGGTCAAGTTGCTGTCAGAAAAATTTTTTTTTTTAAGAAAATATTTGTATGTTTCTTGTCATTGCAACATGGAAAAATACCTTATTAAATAAGGCACTGTCGCATAATAATGGCTAATATTGCTAACTATACTAACCACTGGCTTGTTAAGGCACCTAGAATAAAGTCTGGCACCAACTTATCAATAAGGATAGAATAATGTCATTTAAGCTTATTTCTATTCAGCTTTTACTATTGCTGACAAAACTATTAGGAACTCTGCATCCGTGAGTGTAAGTTTAAGTGAGCGCGTTAAGAATTTATATGGAGATTTGTAGTTCTTAGTAGTTATAGGGGCGCTGTATCGGATTTCATACTAAAATCTTAACGCTGTCACGATCGACGACGGTGAACGTAAACGTCAAAAAACTTACACTAAGAACCCAGTATTTTAAAATCTTATCAGGAAAATAAAATTTTATCAATTAAACTTAAAATAATTTGATGTACTTATATTCCGATATTTTCTTTATCTTCTAATTATTTCCACATTTCTTTATAGCACTGTAAATGTGAAATCGAAAAATGTCTTTTTCTGTTACATTATTCCAAAAATCTATATATATATTTCCATAATCTATATATATATTTCTTTAATTAGTATACCGTTTGAAGCCCGTGGTAAATTCATCGGCTTTTCATTTTTTTTTTTACTAATTGCGTAATAATAAATGTCAGGATTAAGGAGTCTCCTCAGACTGGGGGCCCGTGGCATTTGGCCGACTTGCCCTGTAGTTACGCCACTGACTACTAAATCTTTAAATAAGATATCTAGTTAAAACGTCTTTAAATGTTATATTGACAAGCATCTTAAGATATTTTAAAGAATGATAAAGAATAGTAACGTATATAGGTAGTACTCATCATTATTTGAGTTAGAAGGAAAGAGTACTTGTATGAAAATTGATTTACTTAACATCCTACCTTTACTCTGAAGTACATGGAACAATGCAGCCTTAATCCAATGTGGTGCCACTCCAAAAACTCTTCCACTCTCGCTTTTTGCTTGGAGTCTCGAGGGTATAAAATATCGGGAATTATCCCCTCCCTCGATAAATAATTTACTATAGCAACACTAAAAAAATAAATAAAAAATAAGCTACCTATTATTTATACACAGCAGCATGGATATATAAGTGTCGTAAATTGCTAATAGTCTGAGAAATTGCTAATGCGTTGGAACCTTTTCTATATAATACGCACGTGACGTGATTTTAAAATAGAAAGTATAGATAGCATTAAATGCAAGAGATCAATTAATTATTGAAATATTTATGTTATGTTAGTCCCCAAAATATCCTTTTAATAATTTAATAAGCTTTAGTTTATAAATTTATTGCATGACTTTGTGGAAAAGGTCATTTTATATGATAATATTGAATGTATTGAAAATAAAAACCATATATAGTTACCATAAAAATAATAATATAGTTACCTATATGAAAAAAAATAACATTTACTATGTAATAAAGCGATACCAAACGAAAAGAACATTTTCTAAAACATAGCCAAAAGTAATAATGAAATGAGCGACATTAGATATATTTATTTTAAGTGAAATTAGGTTAAGTTGTTGTGAAAATCATAATAGCAGTTGCTATTTTAGTTAAACCATAACAACTAACAACAAAACTTTATGATAACAATCGAAAACAATACAAGTCAATAAGTGTACTCATCGACCAGTGTTTATTTGTGAACGGTCCTGATTTTTGAAGGCAATTACGTCATTAATATGGCGGATTATACCACTACCAGTTACCACAATACTTCAAATTTCTACACTTGAAATATTAAGTTTTAAAATCACGTAAAGAAGATTGACATGCCGTTGACTATACATAACTTAAATAAGGTGTTGGCCGGCCGCTACCGCGCCATGTTCGCTTTTTATTTTTTTATAGTTCTAACTTAACCTCCTTTATCAACTGATTGTTTCTTTGTGGCGGGCAAGTAAAAGTCTAGCCATTCTAGTAGGGTAGTTGGGTAGCCCTTCCTGAATATGATTTTATAAAAAGTGAAACACCTCTGCAAGACAACACAGTGAACGAATCTCTCGTTTCCAAATAAAAGGCTGCCATTTTGCGTTTAGTATGAATCTTCAAAGAAAAACGTAAATAAAATTGAAATCACAACAAAGTTTCTCTGATATTACTCGTAACATGATTAATTTAACAAATATTTACATGTTTATAATAATACCTAAATTTGCTATAAAAAAATATACATATATTTAATAATATTCATTTATTAAATATATGTATATTTTTTACTTGACTAAAGTTTTTGAGACACCATAAGCTACCCAAATTTAGATACAGTTTTTTCCTGTACACAAAGGTTGCCTGGAAGAAATTACTTTTTAGTAATAAGGCCGCCAATTGTGCATTTAATTTAATTGTATTCGGTTGTTTTGTCCTGAATTGGTGTACAATAAAGCATATTACATTCATTCATTCATTTTATTTTACATTATAATAATAATCAAAGTAGGTACCTTATGCTTTTTGGCCTGTTAAACTAAAGCAAAATTCTCAATTTTATGTTAAAATGTTATCAAATAAGTTCTAAAAAAAGTTAATGGTTGTATAAATTTAAACTGCAGAGAATGAAGTCTTTAGTAAAGTTTTTTTCACTCAAAATTACCAACTTTTAAATTGTGAGGCAATAATACTTAATTAAGCCATATGTACTTTACTAACCTTTCACTTAAAATAAATCCATTGTGTTCAATGACAGGAACCCTTTGTATCCTATTTATCCTCGTAAACTCGTCAGAAAAGTGCTCACCTGTAAATATTTTAAGATAATATATTGTAATATTTCATGCTTAGCTTTTAAACATTTCTTAGTATGTAACCTTATGAGCCCTGGATTGTTTAAGCATATTATATTACCATTATTTTGACCCAATGACAATGACGGCCGACACAAGTGCCACCCTATCCCTTGATTCAGTCCTGAATCTGATATTGCGGTTATAATTAAGATAAGACCTAGATCACATTGCAATCAAACGCATTTAGATTTTTTGCGATTTGTAGCTATGACTGTTTCTACAACGAGAAAGCGATAATTGCCTTATGGCAGAAGGCCTAGTTCATCAATGAAAGCAGAGTTCCTTAGTTTCACTCAGGTACTTACCTTTTCTTAAATCAACCAATTTAGTTTCGAAATCACATTTGATAGATTTCAATAAAATATATAAAGTACGAGAGGGCTGTGACATTAAGTCACAATATAATTTGATAGACATGATTAAGTTCAAACTCCAAATAACCTAAACTGATAAACAAATTCTGACAACTTCATCATAAAATAAACATATGACCAGTGTTGCCAACTCTACATGTCAAAAAGTCGTTAGCGTACGTTTGAGAAGTCGCTAGATGTCGCTAGCTATGGACAAAGATTAAAAGTCGCTAGAAGTCGCTAAAAGACTGAGCGCGTGCGGATAAAACAGCGCAATACAGCTAGTCACGTAGGTACTTCTAATTCTGTATCGTTTTACGCACGGCAGAAGAAGGCACAGTTTTTTGGTCCTTTGGTATAAAAGAAAATAATTTGTTTTACTTATAATAATATTTGTAATCGGTATAAAAACAATTGAACACTACGAAAAAAGAATTACTTGACAAATAAAAAATCAACAACTCAATACTATAATGAAATATAACCAAAAAAAAATTTATCAGAATTTAAAAGTCAAAAACTTAACACCAGAAAAGATGAAAAAGTTTCTTTATTCATTATCAGAACTATCGCTAATAATCAGATAATCTGGAATAATTAATGTATCCGTTCTGGAATTGGAATTAATACCCGAAGTTGATGGCTGAAGCTGCGACGTACGTTTGGCAAACGAATATGATTTATTGGTCCCAATGTTCTTTAGCACATCAATTGGTATTTCGTAATTATAGCAGCTTTCGTAATTATAGAACCGGTGTCAACCAGTCTTTGAAGTCTGAATTGTCTTCCCACTCTTTTCTATACTTCTGTGAGTAACTTTTTTTCTTTACAGGTATTTCCATTATTTAACAAACGTAGTCAATCACTGACAATCTTTTCTTCATATGTTTGGATTTACGTGACTAATAGGCTATTTTATAAGCAACCGCTAATTTTGTTCTATTAGAGAGCACAATACACTCCGTCAACGAATGAATACTCAAATATACCCTAAAAAGGAATGCCTGGGTCTGGAATTCCCCGTTGTACGTCCACAAGTACAGCATTGGGGGATCCCGGCTTAAATATAAGAATTTACGGCAGCGTTCCGAAATTGTATAAATATTACTTACTCTGATAAGAGTCTGTAATATTTTATGAAGATATTTAAAATACTGATATATATAAACTCTACAAGTCGTTAGAATAGTCGCTAGCTTTTTTTTGTCGCTAGACACATAATTTAAGCCGCTGTTTAAAACGAAATGTCGCTAGATCTAGCGACAAAGTCGCTAAATTGGCAACACTGCATATGACCATTTTTTCTAGTGATGAGCCCCTCACTCGCGGGTCCCTCGTTTGAGTTCCTTATTTCGACAAAATGAGGGAGTACTCGTTTTTCAATTTTGAACCACCTCATTAAGCTCCTCACTTTTGAGTGAGGAGCTAAATAGCGAGTTGTTTCGAATGAAAAGGCGACCCGATTCTTACTCAATATTCAAGATTGAGGGAATGGGTTAAGTTTTATGAGTTTTTTGGAACGATTCAGATTTGTTTATGTGTTTCTTCGCAAATACGTATTTTATATTTTATAGATAAATAATATTAATTAGTCTAAGTAAAAATCAAAGTTAATAAAAATGTAGCGGTTTTATTTTGAAATATATTTATATGATTCTAAATATAAATGATTGATCGATTTTAAAAATGGAACATTTGACATTATTGCAAATAAGTTGCGTGTTGTGGTCATTCTGTTAACGCTACGTACTCATTCACTGCTACTATAACGTTACCTATCCTCACCTCAAATGAGGGGTAACTCGCGAGCCCCTCACGAGGGAAAATGAGGTACTCACTCATCCTCATTAAAAAAGAGTGAGTAACGCAACGCTAATTTTTTCTAGCTGAAGGCTGCCAGTTATGGTTTTTCAAATTTCCCCAAATTGATAATAAACATTATTTATTTTGTGAAAGACAAAATTGTACACAAAACGTATTGGATAGTACTACTCGTTCAAGATAACACGACACCTGACGGAATTTGATACACTCTGCGCCACACCCTGCCGTCTCATTTCAGTAGCGACAACTATTTATCAATATAAACATCTGAGTGAATTCGAATTCGGGTTGGGATTTTTACAGAATAGCGGACGTCATGTTAACACGAACTATTTTCCCCATAATATTTATCCATAGTAAAATCATATCATATCCCTTCCCTATAAACTCAATTTGTCCCTTAACAAAGCGAAACAAACCACATGGTGGTAATATCAGGTGACGTTGACATTGACAGCTGACGTTTGTGGTGAGATGTCTTATCTGAAGTGATGTAGTATAATAAAAAAATGAAAAGATATTTTTTACTATTCAATTGACATTAAGTGACATGGATAATTATTTTTTTTACAAAAAAATATAAACTGATATATAATTACTACCATACCTTTTATATCTGTAATAATTATGGTTTATTTACAGACTCAATCATTCAGTTTGAGTTGACACTTTAAAAACTAAGAATTGATTTATGGACGAAGCTACTTTAATGTAATATACCTAATGTTATGAAAGACTTTTATATAGTAATGGGATAGCTCTGGATAATCAGGGCTTTACTTCTATAGTATAGTAAAATCAAATCTAATTGTGTTACAATGGCGTTTCAATTTTTGCTTTTTGTCACTGATTATCTTGTAAGGTAGTAATTTTGTGATCTAGTAAGTGACATTAATACCGTGCTTAAAATAAGACTGCATTGAATCGAATCGATTCTTTTGGGTCTTGATATAATAACATACATCTATTCAGTATTCTGATATATCGTGGCATGCCTATTCTGTCACTCAGTCTACCATCAAAAAAATCAGTTTCGAAATATTTCCGTGTATTACGGAACAAGTCCATATTGAAAAAAAAAAGGATTAATTTTTATTGTGCAATAATTTCATGTTATAGTAAAGGTTAAAGGAAACGTGTTTATGATAAAAATGACTAACAAAACAGATATTATTAAACCGAGGACAGTGAGAGTGTATGAACTAGATGATTTTGAAAAGTTATTAAAAGGAATAAAAGTAGCAGCTTGTATGATCACAGAATCTCATCAAATTGGTCAGTAGCAGAAAGGGAACTAGAACTAGTATTATCTGTAATAAATTGAAACTAATTTTATATCACAATGATAAAATATTCATATGTTTTGTATGTGACACTAACATAACCTTGAAGTGAAAATATATCAAGATTTGTTAAATATTATTTAATTATAGTGTTTCAAATTGTTGTCTCTAGTTGATGAAGCTAGCGTGATACGTCGATTGAGTGCTCTCACATTAAATGGACCTTCTGACGGAAACTGTTGCTCTTGCTGTGGAGTCGGACCATTTGAAACACGGGCTCAACAAACAGCACACTACAAGCAACATTGGCACACACATAATCTTAAAAGAAAACTGTTCGGAAAGTTACCTCTTAGTTTAGGACAGTATAATTCTAGACAAGGTAATAAATTTCAGATGTTCAATTTATTGCATCATACTTTTTGGAATCACCTACATAATGTATCTTTGCAGCTTTTAATACTCCATAATATAAAAGCTTATCTTGATATTTCGTCAAAGCCTCCTTAGTGATGCAAAAAAAGTTCATACAATGACTTGGCTCTACATATCTCTCACTTTTGCGCAATCATATCGCTAATGCATTCACACATGTATTTAGTCAATATTGTCATAGTAAAGTGAACCTAAAATATATCAGTAGACAAAGTTCAACATACAAAATTCCTCCTGTTCAATGACAGTGCTATGATTTACTGACTATAATTTTTTTTATGAACTCTAAGCATAATATTTGGTATACAGATTATGGCATTATCATATATAATATACTGACAGAATCTCTGTCCAATATCTACTGTGTTCGAAGTTGGTTGCAATATAATCTTCTCGACAGCAGATTGTTTCTGCGACTTGACAATTGCAGTATAAGAATTGTCACTGTTAATAGGTACAACTCTATTTCAGATGATGATCTCAGTGAATCAGACAGTGATACAGAAACTGAAGATTTTTCAAGAAAACCTGCCACAGACTTGTTTGCTGCAGCAACAAGGCATTGTAAGGCGTTTTTCACTAATGAAAAAGGACAAGTGTTTTGTGTCTACAGATGTATATTGCATCATAAAAAGGTACAAATCTGGAATAAAATTTGAATTGATTCAAGACGGACAGTTTTCATTGGAGAACACACTTTTGTGTTAGGTCCTCCCTCCATTTCATCATAAATTATCAATTAAATGCATTTCTTTGAAATCCTATTAGCATTTTGAAAGTAGACCAAAAACGTTTTTGGAGAAACAGAATAGGCCTTCAGGTGTCATGTTTATTCATAGGAGTAGTATACACTTTTTGTCTACAATCAACTCACAGATTCAAAGTAACATATCAATGGGTTACTCATGAGTCAACGCATTGAATGGGCTCTGAAACTACTGGACTGATTTTAAAAATTCTTTCATTTACTGAAAGCTAATTTTCCAAGGAAAAGTTAATTTGTGATAAGCATTCTATTGCGACATGTGATATTTGGGTGTGAAGATATGTGTGCATGAACATAGTAAAAAAAGAATAGTATGCAATTTGAGTACTAAGATAATGTAATGTTCACAGAATATGTATATTACAAGCATTTGCTCCCAAAAATAGTTTACTCTTGAAAAGCTAGATCTATGCTGTTAAGACACTTTGTAAATAATGACTATCAAAATTGGATTAACGCCATACTTTGAATATTATATTTGGTTCATTTCTGAGAGAGTATGTTTCGAACATCTATAAGCTATGTATAATAGGATATTCTCAGTGGTCTATAGTAATATATGACTATCTGATAAATGTCAAGAAAGCATGTTCTATATTAATATATAATTCTAAACTACTGGGCTTGTTTCTTTTTTTTAGTTTTTATTTAAGTTAATTTTTTCATGTATTTTTTAATATTTGTTTTTACGCAGTCGGGATTTTGTTTTTCTTTAAATTATTTATTTTTATTTTATACTTTTTTGTTATGATTCGTTGACTTCGTTATAAGATGATAAATTTCGCAATCTAGTCATTTCATTGAGGGAGTTAATATCGTGGGAATTATTGAGTAACTTGCGGTGGTCTAAACTACTGATGATTAGTCCATCTAGAGACGTAACTCTGCTCAAAGCAAACATATGCTTGACCTATAGCAAAAATGCGTGAATTTAAGTCAACCACAGCTTAGTCCAAAGTAGTTCCTTTGAGTTTGTGTACAGTTAGACCCCAGTACAATATCAATGGCAACAGTTTTCGCTCTATTTTACCCTGTCCACGAAGCGCATCGAATTCTGTCGTCGATGGTTCGATTCTGACTCCTACTCTAGGAACATTGTTTTTAATTGCTTTGCCGTCAAATTCTATATAAACAGCCTGTGACAATTCTCCGAGTTTCAATTGTTCCCTTCGAAGAGCTGGCCACTCAATTGCCCTTATAACACCCATTGCTCCGTTAACAAGACCATGGGTAACATTTTAAATATTTGTTCTTCATGCTTTTTCACTGCTTTTTTTTTGTTTGTATATAGTTTATACTTTAAATAAAAACTTAAATCAATAAGTAAGAAAATTTGCGAGAATGATTGTTTTGTTGAACAACTTTAAATCGTTATATACTATTATTAAAAATAAAAAATGATAAAAGGAATCTTAAAATACCTATTCAACGACACCCCACTTGATATTTTTTTTCATTTTGACAATCATGTCATGTCTTTCATGTCTTTAGGCTATTATCGCTCGTTCGGGGTCGAGTCGGCGTACTATTTTATAGTACTATGGTATCGTGAACTCGTGACCGCAGACGAGAAGCTTCAAATATCTAATCTCACAGAGTGCAAATTTGTAAAAAGATTATCAATAATATTTCTAAAGGTCATTGGGCGAAATCTGCCCCGGTAAATTAAAGTTATCCTACAAAAACCAAATTATTTTTTCATTATAAATAGTTACTTTTTCTTTAAACCATGGGAATAAAATATAAAAAAAAATATTAATGCGTAAATAAAATAATTTTAGTGAAAAAGTTTGTAAAATAAATAAAATAAACGTTTGTTCAGTTTTTGGTATGTGCGCAAAGAACGTACATATTGGTGAACCCGACAAGACAGGATAGAGAGAGTATCGACGGTTACTACTGCTCTTGTATTCATGGCCGTCGCACCATTGGATGCTGCGCGCATATAGCCAGCATAGTATATTTTTTGTCATGGGCCTGGCATCAAGAGCAAATAGATGCGCCTGCCGAGTTTTTAGATGACACAGTTATTCCTGTAGACCTTGATCATGTCGAATAAAACTTAAAAGATTTTCTTTACCTACTTGTTTTATTTTTAATTACTTTATTTTTTTAAACTATTCTCACTGACAGGAAACCGTTAAAAATGTCCTAAACCTTACTATAATTAACACGTACGTGCACGCACGTTCAAAACTTAACATGTGGTGGCGTGGGGAACGTTTATACTTTATTTTTCTTTTTTAGCATTTGAATTGAATCCCATTAACTACATATATATTCGTGAACTAGAGCCGTTTATCTAAACATCCTACCAATTTTTTTTTTCTGTAGGCCGTGGGTATCGATTTCATACTATGCTGCCCAATGACCTTTTGTTACTAATATTTCTGTATAAAATTTAAACGTTCAAGGACCCATGTTTATTAAAAATGATAATTTTTAGGAGGAGCTTTCAACTGACGGCGAAGGTTTTGCATGGGTCGAACGATGTCAAAGGCTAGCAATACCAGGCTTTCAGCGTTGGGCTGTACTTATGGTGTCTGGCGGTAATTTTGCTGGAGCTATTTTCTCCGGTGGTGTGCCTGTGGTCCATAAGACACATAGATCTTATGTAACCAGGAGAGGACAAGGGCAAGCGCAGTCAGTGAGAGATCAATATGGGAATGCGCCCAAATCAGCCGGTGCCAGCTTAAGGAGATACTGTCAGGCACAGTTTCTGGAGGTAGTAATTATGCAGTTTAAAATAACATAATTGCCAGAATAATTGCCAAATTTGCCTTAGGAATAGTTGACAGTGCATCGAGGTTTAGGAATCTAAATTTTTTTTGACTTATTTAAAGCTATGTTGCCTTCTGATACGTTTTCTCTTTAATGTTTTAAAGTGTGCTGGTTTAAAATAGATTGCGGGAATTTTATATTTTATGGTAACCCACGGCTATACTGTGTAACTGAGCCCTAATTGATATGTTAAAATAAATTCTAGAAAGATCTGCCAAGATGACGGAATAATTGTCAGTAGCATACCAATCAGGATTATTTAGAATTAGACAGACCAATCAGAATTCGTTCATTCATTCATTTTAACAGGTCAATTGGTGCTTCCGTTATATAGTATACCTACAGATGCGACGCTGTGAATTTAGCTATCATTCCTTCAATTAAATCTTCGAAGTAGATATTTTAAAAATAAAAATCAAGTTTATTACTAATTTACTAAGATTGCAAGCACACAGCATTGTTACTGCAATATGTCAAGTTTCCGAAAATTTTGTGATTTAAAGACAAGTAGAGAAAGATTTATATAACCTTATGTGCTATTGATTGTACAAGTGTCTGTTAATTAAGTATTTTATAATTTACAGCATGTGCAAGAAGTTATATCTAATTGGGGGAATGATTTGTTCGGTTGCACATTCATATTGTATCGTGCTGTTGGTTCTGTGAACCAGGCAGCCCTCTTTGGGAAGAATTCACCGTTAAAGAGAGAGGATCCTAGAGTAAGAGTGTTACCGTTTCCCACAAAGAAACCGTCTTATAAAGAAGTTAAGAGGGTGCACGAAACTGTGGCCAGTGTAGAGGTTTATGGTAAGTGTTTTTAATTGTGTACACCGATTCGGTATATATCTTATAAAAAAAATCTTATGAAAGACGCATCAGAACGTCAGAAATTATATCCCCTGCAAACAAACAAAGTTAAAGACTTTACACCTTTATAATATTAGTGTAGTTACACCCATTTTCTCTAACCTGGAACAAGACATAGCTTAACTATTCGACGCCTAATCTTAAGAATCGCAATATATTCCAATCAAAGAGACTGTTTTCTATCAATTGAGACATCTGTGTTGTGTCGCCGCATAACGCATGTCAAAACTTTAAGCATTGCTTAACGTCGTTAGGTAGCTCCTAGTAATTGGTGAAACGCATTATCACTAGTTAATGAAAACCGGCATTATATTCTTTTGTAGTTTATTTATAAATGTATTTTCAGATACGATGGAACTGTTCCAAAAGGCGTTGATAGCTTCTACTGGCAAACCCGTGACCAAGTCTATGTCAGACACAACTGTCGAACGAGCTAAAAAACCTCAGAAAAGCCCCACCAAACCCATCGATAGAGCTAAGTCCAGGTTAGAATATTGAATAGGTACAGTAAATAGCTTAACTCTTTCTTGCACAACGGCGAAAAATTGAAGACAGAAATTATTACACAAATATTGTATAAAGAGCGTTTTTATCTCCTTATAACTACTCACTTTCATATGAAAAAAATATCGATCTATGTAAAAATATATAAATAGGGACAATGAACATTTGCATGCTGTGGGTCTTATATCTGAAATGATGAAAATCAGCGCATAATAGTCTATTAATTTGTATGTAAGTGTTTAAAATAACCAATTTTCTCAATAATTAAATCTTTTGTATGTTAGAGAACGGACTCCACGTGAATTACCCACACAAATGATGTCAAGCGAAGATGAAGGACCTTGCTTTATAGATTCAGAGACACCCAAAGATTGGATCAAAAAACTATCAGAACAGACCTTGAACGGTACAGTGAGTAGTTCTAGGAAAGATCTCCTCAATGATTTGTCTACGCCTAGTCATATGGACACAGAGAGTGAAACTGACTGTGTGACTGATAAGAAGGAACACGCCAAAAAGAAGAAAAAGAAGAAACCAGAAGAGAAGCAGGACAGCAAGCAGCAGAAGAAAGTGCCGCAGAAGATACCGACTGAAATCAAAAAGGTTGGTTGAGGTGTTCTGTTGAGTTTATTCAAATGAATCACATTCTATTTCTGATTATGTGTAATACAATTTAACGCTATGTTTTTGTTGGGATGTTGGATTTATTTATTCCGCGAAAACGTTATCCGCTATCTTTATGACGTCATTTCGATATTTACACAAAACTGAGTCATAGTAACGTCCAATTTTAATCATACAAAGACCAAATATTATCTGCATAAACTGTACTTAGTGATGAAATAATTTATTTTGATAAGGATTAACAGCATGAGTAAAATAAACGCGTTTAAATGTAGTCCAAAAAAATTCAAGATTTTATAATAAAAAAATGGTTGTTGTGCCTCACTCGACATAGATAGGCATAGTGTGTCGCGGACTTTTTTGTAGATATTTATAAGATCTACAATTAGTTAGACCATTTTATGGTTCTATCTTTTATAGTTTAGGCAGCGTACGCAAAATAAGTAACTTTTCTGGTTGGTTTTTTACAACTTGTGTCCGAAAAACCCAAATATCTTAAGTAACTCTATTTTTTTTCCAAAATAAATATTTCCTTTGTTATTCGTGAATACTGTAGCTTTCGAATGGTGAAAGAATTTTTAAAATCGATCCAGTAGTTTTTGTTTTCGAACAAACGAAGTTTTCCTCTTAATAATATTAGTGTAGACAGGCAGATTAATATGAATAATCTCTCAGTTGCATATAAGTTTCTGCTGAAGCGACGTCACACCATGACGGGTCGTGTTTTAGATCACGTGATACACAGACAAAAAACTACTTTTAATTTAAAGTTAAAAAAATGTCACGAGATTTTATGTTTCAATATTAGAATACCTATGTTAATTCTGAATTTTAGATTTAGTGTAATGTCGGGATTTATTTTCACTATCGAACCTACCCTATTTTGTAATAGGGTAGTTTTAGAGGAAAGATAGATAAGTATTTGATACTTAATGAATAAAAAGTGATTTCTTATCGAGTTTTTTACGCAACGCTTTTACAATATACATAATAGGTAGTTTTAATCAAAACCAATTCTTACGATCTCTATCTATGCCATTACGAGAAGATAAGGACAGTATTTTAGCTTAAAACTCCTCAAGGTTTAAGCAATGTTAAAAATATTGCTGTATGTGTCTTAGATGTTATATTTAGTTTTTTTGTTTTAGTGAAATACCTTAATGCAAGATTTTAATTTACATACTAATTACCGATCAGCTGTTGTTTTCATTATTGCAATTATTTAATTAACTTTGAAACAGATGTGGAAGCTGATATCGAGCGATCAGATATCACTGGAGACTATATTTGAAAATTGGGAGAGTGCTGAATTGGAAGCGGCTTGTAACACGCAAGATCCGAGCGATGGAAACACGGCATTACACAAAGCCGCTATAGCGGAAAAACCGGAAATGGTCACGTGAGTACACAGAGTTCTGATTCATTCATGCCATTCTGAGTAGGCATTCATCACTAGCCTATTAATGTTCCCATTGTCTTGCCTATGGATGGAATGGATGAAATGGAATAGAGAAAATGGGCCCATTGCGGGTTGGTAGATGTTAACGACTGCAGATGCAGCCGGGAACAACGGCTTAACGTGCCTTCCAAAGCACGAAGGAGTTTAAGATAGTAAACTATTGGCCACCCATCCTATGACCGACCCTTGCGAAAGTTGCTTAACATTCGTATCGCAGACTGAGCGCGCTGACGACTGCGCTATCTATTTCTGTTTATTCTTTAGTAAAAAAGACTATGAGTTGCATAGTAACATACATGTGATATTTATAGACCTAGTAATGATCACATATCCTTCAGAGCCGATGGATTTGGATGAAAAAAATAGTGAAAATTATGATGATAACACCAGCCCTTCGATTCTATAAAAATCCAAATCTGAATTCGAATTCACTCAGGTATCAGATTTTACTTCAATAATCGGCATCCGCTCTAGTGGTATAATTAAAGTGAGTCGAAATGACATAGCAATAGAATATCTGAGACGTGTATAAGCAATCAATTTTGTTTTGTATTTTTATACCAAAAAAATGGCGTCATAGGATTTCTTCAACAGAGTGAATTCGAATTCGGGTTCGGATTTTTACAGAATCGCTCTGTGGTTATTTTACACTTTAATATCGAGCTTAAATATCGTGAGTGGACTATGAGAACCTCTAGTCTACACTATGTGAGTTATATTGTTCCTTTTAAATTTAATCTGTTCGGTTCGTTTGGTTCTATCGATTCGATTGGTTTGTAATCGATTTAATTGTTATCGCCAGTCAGATATTGTCCGCCGGCGGTGATCCGTGCATAAGGAACAATCAGATGCAGACTCCTTACGCGGCAACGCCTCATGCTGACACCAGGATAGCGTTCCGTCTGTTCCAGGGACAGTTCCCGGACAAATACAATTATTCTAAGGTGAGACAGAACAGACATATGAGCTCAGTAGCGATAGCATAACTGTGAGACAGAAAACGTTTACGACATGCGAGCTCAGTAGCGATAGCATAACTATCTCTGCGCTTTTAAAATGACTAGAATGAATTTAAGGATATTTACTACGTATGGAAGTTTGAATCAATTGTTGAGATGAGATTTTCTTAAAATTTATTATTTACATTATATGGTATTTATTATATCTTGGTATTTTAAAAAAAATATAAATTACATGTCAACTTTTTTGCACACTGTACTTCATTCTTGTCAGTGGATTAATTGTATACCTTCAGAGTCTGTCGCAAGAAATGTAAAGTAGGCTTGCATTCTATAAGTGAAAATGCAGTTTTCTCTTATATATTCGAAATATATTAACGATTTTAATTCATAAATATTCAATAAAATAAATTTTATGAGATTAATTTGCAAAATATTATACTTGAAAAAGTAAGAAAAATATACTACAAAAATTAACTAAAATACATATGGCATTATACATATACATCAAACAACTTTCCTTATAACAGCTATAAAGATAAACGCACAAATAACAAAGATTGCCCAGACGTCCATACATTTTTCGCTACTCCGAAGCACCGTATGACGTTATTTAATGCATTGAATTTGTATAGAGCGTTTTCAGTCAACTAGCAGCAGTTCGACAAACAAGCATCATACCATAAATTCTCAGATATTAATGGATTAATTATTTGTAAAATAAAAGAAGTTGACAAACTAACCCATTATGTTATATATATCATAAAGAAATGTAATCAAAGTTTGCTAAACTCCTCGAAAGATAGCAGTTAGCATTCAACCGTATCAATTGATATTTCTTTATAGCTTTCAAAGATTTTTGCGTTTGACTAAACCTTGCCTTTTTTTTATTCTTTAATTTTTAAGGGGGTTTTTATTCTTTATAACATGTCAATCCATCTTACCATACTTAAATCTAAATAATTTGATAGACTAAAATACTTTGAATTATTTCAATGTCTAAAAAAATTAATTTAAATTCTTTCATAAATGACTCCCTCTCATCTTTGTTTCTAGTATTAGCATTAGCAAATGTTGTACATTTTAAGAAAAAAATTTGCGAACGCAATTGCTCTCATATGTCAAATAGTTTTCGCATTAAGTTCATGAATATATTTCAAATATCAAAATGATTGCCATATATTTTAAAGTTATAGATGCCATGTTGATTCGTCCAACTTAAAAATGTATTAAATGCGGCTCTATTTTGTTCGTTGCAGTCACATATACCGGGCCCGATAACTCCAGAACTTCTGGAGGCTGAAAAGGAAAAGAAAGCGCAGCAGAAGCGGGCGAAGCGTCAACGAGACAAAGAGAAGCAAATGGAGAAGATCAAGACCGATAAGTTTTTACAGCTTACCGACGCACAAAAGGTAATTAATTTATATTGTGTTTTTAAAATTTCATGTGTTAGCTTTGAATTTAATAACAATATTTGTTTCATCATCAGCCGGAAGACGTCCACTGCTGAACATAATATTTGTTTAGTAAAAAATAATTTGTCTTTTAATAAAAAAAAACTTTGTGGAAAAAGCATTAAAAAAACACCAGGGGCTGTTAAATTTTAAGCGTTTTTCATGAAGAATATTTTCCAAGATAGTAATGTAAAATCTTTCATATTAATACTTAAAAAGCGTTTATTTTATAACAACATGAGAACTGTACTTATAATTTGTTTTTAAAATGAAAGAGTAGGAAGATTTTCTGAGCTTGTTCCAACTCCCATCCCTCCCGCTTCACCATACCCCACGTCTAGGGTTGACATCTTCTAAAATAAAAAGCCTGACTGTACTCTATTAGGCCAGACGTTTACCCTTTTTATAGCCAAACATCGCGGTTATAAAGCCGATGTACGTTTTTGAATTTTAGGGTTCCGTATGGGTAAAACGGGAAACTTATTACCAGAGGTCGGAATTAGGTAGAGTTATTTATGTACTTGCATCGAAATGTTGATATTAATGTGGACCTTCCCGGGATTTCTTTATTTCTTCTTTCTTTATTTCTTTCTTTCATTGGTGTAAGTTTGGCAACGTCGTGCGTGCGGTAGTTTAAATTGTATTAAAGTAAATAACTTTTTATTTAAAAAATACGGGATTTTTTCTGCTCTTTAAAATTAATCTCGGGATTTGAGGCATATCCACTTTATTCTTTCGCTGTATGGAATCAGTGTAAGTACATGAATAACTCTATCTAATTCCGACCACTGCTTATTACTAAGACTTCGCTGTATGTCTGTGTTGAAATTTTCGCAGATGATAGATTTCTGTTGCCACTCCAACAACAAATATTAAAAACCAGAATAAAACAAATATTTAATGGGGCTCCCTTTAAACAAACTTGATTTTATTGCTCGTTTTATTATGTCACTTTTATAGAAATCTGTTACAAGTTATAATTGTTTATATACATTAATCAATTTAATATTTGTCGTCATTTGGATGATAAGCAAAAAGCCTTATAAGATCCGTAAGGTGGCAAAATGTTGAACCAAACACTATCATCTATACTCCATTCATTATAGCATTAGACAGAATGAAAATAAGGTTCTTTTTATTGTATACTTTATGACAAAATGTCAACAATCATGTTACTCTTAAGACTAACGGCTAATTTGCTACATATCCACTTAAATACCAGCTGCTATACTTAACCGTAGTCTTTTAAGCTAAATATTAAACAAATTTATGAGTATTTGACTGACTTAAAACATTTAATAATTATTACAATAAAAAGTGTTCATCTTAAAGAACCTTAAGAAGCAGGGTTAGATAGTTTCGGCATGATTCTCATGTTACTATAACTCTACCAAATTTAAGACGTTGCCTAATCCCTTCAAACGTTTCGGCAGTACAGCTTTTTAATTTTGTCAGATTATGATTTATTCATAATAGTCTAAATATGTAACCTGGGATTGTTGTTTTGTCTGTTTTGTCATTTTCGGTGATTGAGTAATTACTGTTTTATTGTTGTTTTCTTATAGTTTTGTTTTAGTTGTTATCTTTATGTTGTTAAGTTTTGCTAAATTGCGATTCCGGTGCAGGCCCGAGTGGCCTACAAAAATTACACTCTAAGTCCCCATGCCTACCCTCAACCATTGACATTTCAGGAAGTTTTTCTTCATCAATAGTCTAACTAATTACACTTACAATTAGAATTTATCAAAACAACAGATATATAGTTTCAGTTTTAGTTCCATTTTGGCTTGGGAGTAAAAGATGAATTTATAAGATGCTGGCCTCATCACAACCCCGAGGTATCGTAAAAAATGAAAAATTGCCCAGCTCTTTCAGACTACCTAATGTTCAAAGTTTTTAACAAAACTAATTTATATTTTTTTTAAATATCTTGAAAATAAAATGTTCTGAACTGCTGCTTCTATGACCCTCTTTTTTCTAATGTTATAATGAATGGAGTATAGAATATTAACGTCTTTTTATTGTCTCTGATCTGGGTGTTGTGGTACCTTCGTCACATCAGACTCATCTTGAAATCTGAGCAATTTATGTGATGTTGTTTAATATTAATTTATTTATTCTCCAGGTGAAAGCGGGAGAGCGTCGCTGCTTCCTTTGCGGTTCGTCGTTACCCAAAACACCCTTTGAATACAACGCCTACAAGTTCTGTTCTACAAGATGCCTTCAAAACCATAGAAACCTTAGGCCATTGCACAAAAGTGCATAAACGCGAAACTGTCATTGACAAAATACAATTTTACAGGGTTAATTTCGTTTTTTTATGTCCGTTTTATGTTATTACAAAAAAAATACCTATAGTATTATTACATGTGTCTTTAATAGGGAATATGCAGATTTAAAAAAATATATTTCTATAATTGTATATATATTTCTATAATTTATATTATTATAGATCTGTAAAAAATACCCGACATCGAACAAATTAAATTTAGTAACAACAATAAATAATGAAGTTAAGTAACAACTACGAGATGTGTAAACGCCGGATTTTTTGGCGCGCTTGTCGTGACGTCAAAGTACACGACTAGAGATGTGACATTTTCCATCAATGTGGATTTTACAATGAAATAGTGTTTGACTATTTTAAATTTACCGCATTTTGCACACTTTTATAAAATTCTTTTCAAAACAAAAATGAAATAATGTTGAACAACATTTACATAGTTCATAGACTTTATTATAAAGAAATAATGATCGTAATAAGTTATATTAACCCTTACTTGAATCGGATGCATATTCCTTGTTATAATTTTATTGTCTTTGCTCAAATGTTTTTAAAAATCGAAGTCGATCAATGAACTGTAGTCAGTGTTATAACCAGAGGTCGGAATTAGGTAGAGTTATTTATGTACTTGCATCGAAATGTTGATATTAATGTGGACTTTCCCGGGATTTCTAATGGACAATCTTGGACATTTTTGGACATCCGATGTCATTGATGTAAGTTTGGCAACGTCGTGCGTGCAGTAGTTTAATTGTGTAAAAGTAAAAAAATCACGGGATTTTTCTGCTCTTTAAAATTAGTCTCGGGATTTGAGGCATATCCACTTAATTCTTTCGCTTTATGAAATCAGTGTAAGTACATGAATAACTCTACCTAATTCCGACCACTGGTTATAACTAGTGATACGAGTATTTTATGGTTGCAAAAAATAAAAATAAAGTTTCTGTTTACTATTTATTTATTATATCAAAGTTGAGCGAGCGCAATAGCATTTTTTTTGCGCATGAGTGAAAGAGATATGTAGTGCTGCCATTGCACGAAATTCTTTGTACGGCGACTAGACCATAGCTGACATGACATGAGTTTCACGCTTCATATTTTATCTTAGGCTATTGATGTTGTTAACATGATAATAATTTTGTATCGTGTGTTATTTTAATTAAATGTCAACAATTTATAATATAATCATCATCATTAGCCATTTTACGTCTCCACTGCAATGGTTTAGGCCCAGTTGTTAAGAAGGTGGGGCCGTTACCGGATGCTGGCCCAATGCGGACTGGAGGTTATTAACGACTGCAAATGCAGCTGGGACCAACGGCTTAACGTGCCTTTCGAAGCACAGGGTGTGTGAGGTATGAGATAGTGACTTTCCGGTCACCCATCCCGTGACCGACCCTTGCGAAAATTGCTCAGTAACAACGATCGCAGGCCGCGACGCTTATCCAATACACCACCGAGCTACTAATTTTATTATATAAAATATTAAATTGATTTACTGCCATCTTATTGTGATATCTTCCAATAACATAAAATAACTTTGATAAAAATATAGCAGTCCTTGTTAACTACAATTAAATATCTGTTTGAGATTGTTACCTTGGATTTTGTACAGTCAACAGCACGTCAGGTTATAAAAAAAATGTTTAACCTCCCCACTCGATTTTACACCTTATTACATTGAAGTAATTTTTTTTTTACGAAACATATTGCGATAACATGACCTGCTGTGTGTACGATAATACTAATCATATATATATAATTTAATCAGAAACACAAAACGTTCACCAAAAACGTTCGTAATAACTAATTCGTTCATTTTTGTAGCAATATTTTTTGTACAGAATCTTAATGAGGTATTAAAATCAAATAAAATAATTACGAGAAATGTATTTTTATTCAGCTCCTTATATTAGCTTGGGGAAAAGTCTTTTCGCATATTAGTATGCATAAACTTGTAATACAATCTTTCTGGCTACACCATTTGCATCTGGCTGGTTTCGGTATCATTAAAAAGTTTATATTAAAGAAGATAAATTCGATATATTTTAAAATTTTATTACAAAAAGAGGGTAAAAGGCATCGAAAGTCGCGAAAATTTTTTGTGATGTTTGACCAAGTGCATGTGACGTGAGTGTACCACAATTTGGATTAAGCGTTTTCAGTCGGGAAATGTTGATGTCAAAGATCCATGTCGCTCCGGACGCCCTGTTACGGATAAAAAGGATGCCATTTTTGAAAAGTGGAGCAGGATCAGCATAGCAGTAGTTACGACGTAGCCGAAGAACAGGGGATTGACCAGAAAACACTTATGGCTCATTTGATAAAAGCTGGGTACCGAAAAAAAAATGTATATATGCGTACCTCACGAGCCCACTGAAAGAAACTGAATGAACAGTGTATCCATTTGTGATCCTTTATTATGACATAATGAAACTGAACCATTTTTGAAGAAGCTAGATATCTGGCGATTAAAAGTGGATCACGTACGACAAGAATTTTGAAATAAGTCCATAGTCTCGATTGTTTATCGCATAATTGTTCCATCACGGTTTGCGTAATTAACTTGGTACATACCTCGTGTGTTCATAATTTTTGCGACAGTTTTTACTGAAAAAAATAAATTGTTTTTTACCGTTTTTGAATTTAGAATGGCAACTTTTAGTTTATTTGTATCGCGAATTCATTTGTGTATATTTTCTCGTGATGGAGGGAACGAAACAATTACGTGCTACTGTTATTTCGCTATTTAAGGCGGGAAAAAAACCGATGTAGATTTTCTGCGAGCTGAAAAGTTTTCTGTAAGCCGTAATTTCGTCTATTACACAATACAGCGGTACAAAAAGACAAGTTCTCTGCATGATCGCCAAAGAAGTGGTCGGCCACGCTCTGTGAGGACGCCTGCGGACACCAAAATCATCCGAAAGCGACGTCGTCGAAATCCATGTCGCACTCAGAGGAAACTCGCTCTGCAGACTAATATTTTACGCGTTTCAGTGAACAGAATACTGAAATATGATTGATCTTAAGGTAAAGGCTTGTAGCCATAAAAAAAGTTCACATTTTAAACGATCGTGTTCATAAGTTACGACGCGAACGTTGTCCATTGCTGCTTTAAAACAATAAAGAGTACGCTATAAGTAGCAAGGATGGTATGGTGGGGAGTTTCGTATGAAGGTGTCACTCCGCTCCATTTATGACAACAAGGTGTCAAGGTGAGAGCCAAGAATTATCAGAGTGAAATTTTAAAGCCCGTGGTGAAACCCTTGTCTGATACGTTACTTCACAATAAGGATTGGGTTTTTCAACAAGATTCAGCGCCATCCCATAAGGCAAAAAGCACTCAAGCTTGGTTGAGTGAGAATGTGCCTCCGTCCTCAACCCGCTGGATTATTTTTTATGGATTGAATTAGAGCTCAGAGCCTGCCGAAAGTCCCACCCAAACTTAGAGTCACAACAAGAGCCGCCATTGATGACTGGCCAAATCGCCTAAGGGCCACCCAAGTAGCACAAAACATCATTATATCAAACTTATAATAGCACGAGTCCAAGCGTTAAGCATTATAATAAAATCGTATATCAACCGTATTTCTTTTAAATGACTCTTATACGTAAAATTTGGGCCCCCCTTTGTACGACTTTAAGCTTTATAAAAGCTGTGCAATAGCACTACAACTTTTGTATAATAGCATTAATAAAGTCGGGTAAAAGCATTCTAATAGCCACAAAAAGTTCAATTAGCACGTTAAAGTGCTAATTGAACTTTTTGTGACTATATTACAATTGATATGCGTAAATCAAAATTATAATACGTTAATTTAATGTTATAAAAATGCTTACTGTTTTATTTCCTTTGTAAAAAAAAGTATATTTAATAGATTTTAAAAACATATAATCGGTTTGAGTTATTGTTTTGTGTAAGTGTCATGACATGTTCTCTTGGCTGGTCTTTTGAGTTTTTTTTTTTTATATTGATTTAAACAGCTCGTTGTGTGTGAAATAAGCTGCAAATATCAGTTTGTGGAGTAAAATATACAAGTTTATGGTGTAAAATACACGCGCCTACGCAAACTTCCTTTAATTTAATAAAAATAATAGAAAATTTAACCTAGTAGCAAAAATTTTTGTTGAATTTTAGGCTTTTTAGCATTGTTTTAACAACATAATTGCTTTTATAGGCATCTGTGCACAAAATAAATTATTATTTACCCCTTTTCATCTGACACAGTTGACTTTAAATATTTTGTAAGAATTGGAAAAAGAAAGCAAATGGCGACTCGTAAAATTAAAGCATTAGGTATTCAAATATAGTGTAGTAGAGCTGTTAATCGTATTATGGTTAGACACAAAACTAAGAGCTCGTAATTCACCGTATAACACACTCCCATTTTAGGTTCAGCCGTATTTTAACACTTCAGAAGTATCTTATAGTGCTTATAATCATCAAACGATTATTTTATTTTTATTTTGATTTTTAAAAGCTTCAATTAAATTAGAATACTCTTTTTTCAATTTTCTTTTATATCCACCTGTTTTCTTTGTTTTTCCCAACGTTTTTTGTCCATGGCGCCAGCGATGCGTATAAAATGCCACCATTACAATACAAAACATAAAATAATTTTACATTTTAATTTCACATAAAAAATAATTACGATCTATTTATCACTTGTATTTAAATAACTTAATATATATTAAAATATAGCCTAATGTTTTATAAAAGCATAGATTAAGAAGATAAAGGAGCTTGAGCTTGATTAAAGAATACTTTAAGAACAAATCGGTGCTAAAGTTTTAATTGTTCTTTATTCAATGTGTATATAGGATAAGCATTAAATCGATACAACCATAGGCCATTAGAAAACCTTTGTTTCTAGAAAATGACTAAATAAAACTAAGTGCACTAAATAATATTACGTTAATGCTTATATAATATATAATGTTTTTCATATCACCGAAATACCATAACGGCTTTATATTAATAT